CTAGAGGGGGCGTCAAACCACCCTCTAAAAAAAATGTTCTTCTAGTTGGCATCTTCTATATTTAACAGCATAAAATGATTAATAACAGAGTGACGGCACTGATTATGTGCCCTCTGTTCCTTCACTTCCCCTCCTATCGCTCTCCCTTCTACACAGGTGGCTTGGGCACACGCCCCTAAGAGAACGCACTCAGGGATGTTTATTTTATTTGAAAACTTAGACTACGGCTATGTTCGTATTCATGGGGTGCGTCTTCCAAGGATGCTGTCTAACTGGACTGGATCCTTCAAAGTCTGTGAAAAATAAGGAAAGCGGAAGAGTTTTAGCTGTGAACAAAGACTACACTCATGACAAACCAGAGTGGAATAAAGGTGACAATCACAGGAGCATGAACAAATAAAAGCAAATGTAATGATATAAACCTTAGTCAGTTAGGTAACATGCTGCTATCATTTTGCACATCTCTGATGTTGCTGCTATTTTCAAATATCCATTACTGTAAAAATGTCCATAGCTGCATATTGGTTATTTATTCTTCAGGTGCCCAGTTTTATATTGTTAAAACACTTTACAGTACAGGATTTTATTGTTTATCTTTATCTTCACTATTATGTTATTCTTATACAATTTTCTAAGGTCCACATTTGTGTGACTATTTTTTTCTATAATCCTTTTGCTGCTATAAATTTCCCCATTGTGGGACACTAAAGAGATTTTCTATTCTATTCTATAACAGGGGTAGAAAGATATAAGTAAATCTAAATAATTTATGTATAAAAAAATATATCTGCAAAATATCTTACATTCAACAACGAAAAATAGCAGTTAAAAAAAAAAATCCTATCGGACAACACTGCAATTCCATCTTTTTGAAGTTTTGAAATCCTCTTTGTTCATCTGCTGGAGTAGCAGATTCATACCATTTTTTCAATTTCCTTGTTTTTCTCTTCGTCCCACTCGGACCGTCCAAAAGTGACGCCACTCGTGACTCATAGATTTACTCTGAAAAAACAGCTATTCTGCAGAGCCAGACGCAAACCACAGTTCCCCCTTTGGAACCTCTGTTTTGTCGAAACAGGCACAAACCATTCAGAATTTTTTTTTTTTTAAAAAGAACAGGCTCCAAACTGTGACGATGGATCTATCTTCCCACCCTGTCCCAAAAAGCCTTACTTACAAGATCATGGGCAGGCAGGCCTAAGAAGGTCTGTATCTTGGTACAAAAGCAGGTAGAGACAAACCAACGTAGCATTATTATAGCAGACAGGAAGAGGAACACTGTGACTGAACAAAATCAGAGAACACAAGCTGTAGAGGTTGTAAAAAGACTGTCAAATACAGTGACAATGCAGCAGATTTATTTCAAATACATGTAAAATTATAATGAAGGAAACAAGCAGAGAGGAGGAGAGATGTCCCTTCAGCATTTTCTCCTTGTCTTAGAGTGAATATCAGGAGCTGCTCTGCCACTGCAGCGGGTAGGATCAACAGACTGAGTTTTTAACTGAAACTACTATCATTGTGCTGCATTGCATGACCCCCACATCTGAACAATATTATGATCCTGATTGATAAACTCGACAAAATATTGCTTTGCTCTCTTCTTGCCATCTGTGTACCTATAAGCACACTGAAGCTTTGGTCCGATCGGCACGTGCGTTCAAAAAGTGTCCTTCCCTTCACCAACCATTCAGTAAACATCTACAAACGGTTAACATTGAAAACATGTCTTAGAGCTACAATCAGTGTCATTAATATTGGCAAGAGTATTGATGGGAAAAAATGTATAGTCTTATTTAATTGAGATCTGCTGTTTTTTCATTCAAGCCAGCATTTATTAATCCTTGCAAAGGAGAACATGCAGCCTGCAAAACGCAAAAACAAGCTGCAGACTGTGGAAGAAAACGGTAAAATGTTGAGTAAACCTGGAGAGGAGGGAGTCTGAACTGAGATGGGGAAAAAATATCTATTACTAAAGTACTAAGTGAAGGAAAATCACCACTTATGTGGTAATTTTAGAAGGGATGTGACAAGAAAATTGACATGTTCTGTTGGACTGTTTTAACCTGCATCCTGTTGGCCTAACTGGCATGTTTTGTTCTATTCAGTTTGGTGAATTGCAGTCTGTCAGAGATCAGCTGTGCTAGTCTGGCCTCAGCTCTGAAGTCCATCCCCTCCTATCTGACAGAACTGGACCTGAGCAAAAACACCGACCTTAAAGATGCAGGAGTGGAAAAGCTCTGCGGTTTTCTACAAACACCCCTATGCAAACTGCAGAGATTAAGGTAGGACACCATGTTGTGTTAACACACAAAATCAAAAAGAAACAACAAAAACAGGAGCGCTGATAGGTCCTCCCAAAAGTTATTCCTTTTTAGTTTTTATCCTCATTGGCTTCATCATGTTGCAACAAGTGCAGCCTTGAAAAATAGTAAAAATATATATACTTATATAAACAGTAATATAAACATATGACATTTTCATGTATATTTATATATTTTTTTACATAGGCTATACAGGAAACTGTAGAATGGCCAGAGAAGGCAATTTACCTAAAGAGAAAAAAAAGGAAGAAACACAGAGATCTTGTTTTCTAACAAGTCTGACTCTTCAGCCACTCAGGAACTGTTTTATCTGTGAGCCTATCCTCTGTCCACTTGGGCCCATTAAGATTGAGCTAATATTGGCTAAGCATTGACCAATGGGGAGCCCTTATAACTTTAAATTGACAAGATCTGTTATACCATTTTGAAGTTTAGAAATACTCAATTTCAGCCTCAAATGTGGATTAGAAATCCCTTCTTACACCAGTTGAAAAAACTTAGCAAGATCATTACAGTCTGTACCTTTCACAGGGTTTCCTCTCAGTTAGGGTCTAGATAGTCTCCACATATGATTAAAAGGGGAACTATGGACGACTCTTGGCCACAGCTCTATGTGATGTAATCCTGTATACCACTCTCAGAAATCCTCCTGCCCAGAACCAGATAATCAGGGAAACTATGGAGAACCTTCACCCAGGACCTGGTGCTCCAAATATTAAACTTCTTGTCGAAAATCCACCTGTCCAGAATCAAATAATCAGAAGTGGGTTTCCTTAATGGAGAATCATTACTTCCATTTTTTTTTATTCCAGAGAACCTTTATCCAGGGTCTGGTGCTCAAAAAATGGATTCATCTTTTAAAAGAAATCCAAAAAAAAACTGTCCAAGACCTAAGAAAAGGGAAGACTCTGGAGTATGTTATAATTCGAGGCTGAATTTGATTTGCTTCAAATTGTACAAGCTCGAACGTTTGGGTTTGATGAGTTAAATAAAACTAAATGCCATATTTCAGCATATCGTCATGAGGTTTGCTGTTTTATAATTTTTTTTGGATTGAAAATATTTGTGTTGCTTTCCATGTTCTGTGTGGAAAAACTGCCACTTTCATGTTGTGGTTTTATGTAAATACCAAACTGTGCTAAAAATGTTATCCTGCAAGTTTTGTTCCTGCGAGTGTTAAGTTCGTCAACCAGGACGATGAAGAAAATATTTGGTTAACGCCCCTTTTTCCTGAAACCATGACGAGACGATGACGCACAAATATTGTTTTCAGAAAATAAAAATGTGACGAGAATAAAAAATTATTTTCGTCAACAAGACTAAGACCAGACGAAATTAACAAGCCATGGAAGAGTGGACATTAAAAAATGTGATTGTTTATAATTAATTTGTAATTGTTAATATAAGTGTTTCTTTAGCTTCATAGAAGATAACGCGTTTCTGCCTTGCTTGTCCCTACATGGCGCCTGTCCCACAGTGCCTCACGCCGCTCAGTTAGTAGTAGCAGAGGGCTTATACTGGTCACTGGTCGTAGTTAACTGTGGCTAGCTCAACTTTGCAGTCATGGCGTTGGGCTCAGATAACGGTGTACAGTTTGTTGGAGGAGCTGGGCGAAAACAACGCCTGGATGTGTGGAGCCATTTCGTTTACAACGAGAAGGACAACAAAACAACCTGCATGATAATGACTGACACCTCAGCCAATTCAGAAGTTGGGAGCACCCCCACCGTACAAACCCGATGCCAAAGAGCAGAAAGCCCTGGAGAACTCAGTGGCAAAGTGGATTGGGCGTTCTGGCCTACCTGCAAGGACCATTGAGGATGAAGACTTTGTGGATATGATGAAACAAACCGACAAAAGGTTCAATGTGTACAGTGGGATATATGTTAAAAAGAGAATCAGTGTTTGGAAAGTTCTATTCTGCACAGTGTTATATAAATAATATAGAGAAAAGAGAAGCAGTGTGTGAAGAAGTTTTATTTGCAGTGTGAACTAAAATGGCTAAAATTTGACTGAGACTAAAATTGACATTCGTCATTTAGACTAAGACTAAATAGGGAAGGCAATGACTAAGGCTAAAATTAATTTTCGTCATTGTGACTAAGACTAAATAAAAAAAAAAAGCTGACGAAATTAACACAGGTTCTTGCTTATGCATGTTTTATATGAGAGCCCCTAGGTCTTTAATGCTGTCATTATTATTGATCTTGAACTGGCTCTGTTGGACTCTTCAAACTGCATCCTTGCATGTTTTATCCTCTATTTAGATTGATGAACTGCAGTTTGTCGGAGTTCAGCTGTGCTTCTCTGGTCTCTGCCCTGAAGTCCAACCCCTCCCATCTGACGGAGCTAACCCTCAGCTGGAACAAAGACCTGAAAGATAAAGGAGTGAAGGAGCTTTGTGGTTTTCTACAGAGTCCTCTCTGCAAATTACAGATATTGTGGTAAGACACCAATTTTTACTTTAGTGCCGTTGTGCAATATATGCATTTATGTTATTCCTCTGGATGTCTAGTTTAATGTAAAAAAACATATTGGAAAACATTTTTATTTATACAAAAGGATTAATAAAGACAAGATAAGGTTACATAAGGATCCACCACTTTTGTCAGACCAATCGACTCAAGATTAATTTATGAACTAATCACCATCCATATTAGTTAAGGAAGGTTTTTACATGGTCCTGTTGGCATCAGCTCACATGTTTTATTTTTCATTCAGCCTGGAATCCTGCAGTTTGTCAAAGACCGGCTGTGCTTCCCTGGCCTCAGCTCTGAAGTCCAACCCGTCCCATCTGACAGAACTGAACCTGAGCCGAAACAGAAACCTGGAGGATGCTGGAGTGGACGAGCTCTGTGGAGCTCTTAAAACTCCCCTCTGCAAACTACAGACATTGAAGTAAGACTCCATGTTTTAGTTTGGCATGAACAAGTCTGCTTGTTCACACCAGACATATACATCTAACTACTTTATCATATACAGTAATTTTTTTTTTTGTACTTTATATACTATAATAATCCCAGAGGGAAATTACTTCTCTGCATTTGACCCATCCCCTTGGGGTTATTGGTCTTGCTCAGGGACCCAGAGTGGCAGTCTGCAATGGGGGATCAAATTAAAAACCTCAAGATTCAGAGCCCTATGGACATAATATAATGGACATTATAGCACATAATATATCTGTCCTGAATACTCTACATTAGGGGTCACCGATTAAAAATAAGTGGGGTTCGAATAAAGAAAATCAACAACCAGTAAAGGTCCGGGGACATTTCTAATTATAGCCTGGTACTTTAAACAGAATTTAACACTGAAATAAATTGAGGTTTTTAAGCATACACGTTATATATTGACTTATTAAATTTAAAAAATTGAGAAAAAAAATAAAATTTTTCCATTTTAAAATCTAAAGTGTTTTTTTGAAGTCGAGAACAACAATCCTTCAGTTAGGTATTTGACAATTTCCTGATTCACATATTTTATAAAACACTTGAACTGATAGTTTGTTTTTGTTATTTTCTATCTTTTTTCTGGCTTAATGAGAGCAGTCGGCTTTAGGCTGTCCTGCAAGGCTTTAAACCTGAGTTTGAATGGTGACAAATGGCACCATTCTCAAGCACATATCAAGGAGCTCATTTTGAGCCTGGATCCATATTTATTTTTTATTCTGTTCATGGTGGAGAATCCTGCTTCACAGCAGCAGGTTGAGCCGAACATACTCAAAATGTGCAGGGTCATCTTTGAGCACACCATTTCATTTTTCTTTCACGAGTTCACCGCAGTTCTTCCAGCAATCCACACTTTCTCTTCTCTTTTTTCCTCGTTTTCACCTTCTTTCCCATCGCCTGGCTTGCCACAGGTTTGCTGCTGTGTCTAAAAGTAGCAGCAGCAACCCAGACTGACAGCAGCTCATTGGCTAATTTATATCACCTGCAGCCTGGTGTTGGACGCTCCGGAGTGCTTTACCGTACAAACAGCAGAAGCGGTGCAAGTAAAGTTAGACACTGCCGTCGGACTACATGCTGTAATTTATAAATGTGTTAAATCAGGTTGGGTGCAGATTAGCATGCAGATGGGTCCGGATCCGGACCCCGGGCTGCTAATCCATGACCTATTCTCTAAAGGTACACAGAGTAAAAAACGTTTTTGATACTGTTGTCCATTAGTGGTTATGTGAACGATCTGATTTATATGGAATGAGAGAAAATGATAAATTAATAATATTTCTGTCATTTCTCTTTAATTTAATTATTTTTTTTTTTTTTTTTACAGATTACACTGCTATTTTCTTGGGTAAAAAAAACTTATTAAACAACACTTTAAGTAGTAATAGAACAGAAACTGAATGATCTCAAACATGGTTTGATATTAAATGAATTATCTTAAAATAGCAGAGACAGAAATTTAAGTTTTTAGATCAAAGAAAGGGTATTTCAAAATATGCTGTTGAAATTGACTTTTTCAGACAGCAAGTACAATCTAAGAGCTTAATATATGTTTATTGTGCCAAAGGTTCAAAATATAAAATAAAAGACATGCTTTTGTGTTCTTGGATCTAATTTGTTTAATAATGTTTGCATAGAGTTGAAAATGTTTTTTCTCAAATTAAAATGTCCTGAAATACCTCAAACAAACTGTCAGGGTTTATGGATGTTGTTGCTGACCCAAATGAAGAGTAGAAGGAGGAAGGGAATATTGCTTGAAAGAAAGACGAGGATCCAGGATCCTGAAAACATAAAGGGAAACTAACACAAGTCCACACAGGGCAGAATCGTGACAGAAACACTGTCATTTTTAACCAACAGGGGAGCTTGAACTTCAAGGTTTGGCTCCATTTGAAGGTCACCGACTACACTGTAATGTGGCTAAATCAAACAGTCTCCCTACATGTTTTGGAATTGGATAACAGACCAATACAGACCTGATTTTTGTTAAACCAGTATAATTTGGCTACAGTACCTGAGTTTATATTAATGGAGCTGTTGTGAGAACTCAAACTATTTTAACCGGAACCCTGGTTTCATCTCATATGATTGATGCTTTATTCAGACTGGAGAACTGCAGTTTGTCTGAGATCAGCGGTGCTTCTCTGGCCTCAGCTCTGAAGATCAATCCCTCCCATCTGAGGGAACTGGACCTGGGCTGGAACACAGACTTGAAGCATGCTGGAGTGAAGGAGCTTTGTTGTTTTCTACAGACTCCCCTCTGCAAACTACAGAGATTAAAGTAAGACAAAATGTTTTAGCAAATTCAGACGTTTCTGATGTTAAAATTGTGTTTGCACTAAACTCCTGATGTATGGTTGATATTGCACAGTTGCGCAATCATCAATGTCTGTTTTCTTCTTCACTGACTTGGTCTGTTTAAAGATTCCTTTTCTGGTTTATTAAATTATATCTACAAAATATAAAAGAATTAATTGAAATGGATGTGGTGTTGCATCTATTATCCAGAACTTCCCAGGATCCAGTTTATTTAGAGCATTTGATGCAGGGAATTCCAACTCCTATTTCCAGCAACATTATTTGATAATATGGAGCTAACATAGGCAAAGTTGTTGAAACCTAAAGATTCCTAAAACTTTTGTAAGAACTTAGTCCTGGAGATGACTCCCCTCATGTAACACATGTCAGAGAAGAGTAGACTGCTCTTAAAATCTTTGACATGAGCAAATGTATAATTCAACACTTTTAGGCTACGTTCACACTGCAGGCCTTAAAGTTCAGTTCTGATTGTTTTGTTAAATCCAACTTTTTTTGCGTATCTGTTCACATTTCCAAATATATCTGACTTGTATGTGATCTCCTGTGTGAACTGCTTTCATAGAACGCAAGTGTCCCGCATGCGCAGTGGAGAACGCAATTACATCACAGGCCAGCGTGCTCTGTGTTTATGGAAGTAGACATGGATGGTAGCGCTGGACCGCATCTAGTGATCTTTCCGAACTTTAAAAACGTAATCTTTTCAAGATGGTTAAAAAAAGACTGCTCTCCACATCATCGTCCACAATGGTTGTTTTTCTTCCAGCTTCTGGGTAGCAAGATGCAGAATAGTGACCTTTGTTGAATATAATGAATGCAACCTAGCTGTTCAAACACAGGTTGCATTTGAAAAGATCAGATTCTTACCGGATTTAGGACCACAGCCCGGCGGCCTGGATCGCTTTGGAAAAATCGGATCTGTGTTGTTTAGACTGCCATGAAAAGATCAGATCCAGGTCGCATATTGGCAAAAAAATTGGATTTGTGTCACTTCAGGCTGCAGTGTGAACGTAGCCTTTGAAACTCTGGATTGATAGTTCAATGTTCTGTGTGTTTTAGCTCTTACAGTTGGTTTTGCATTAAACAATCTTGACATCAGGTTGTTATGGTTGTGGAATAATTATAATAGTTAATTCTAACTGCAGTTATCTTAATTTCTTCATATTTCCTCCAGGAATAATCGTTCTGTACTACCAGACTTTTTCTTGTTAGATATTAATGCGAGCTCTGTAACTGGTTCAGATTTATTTTATTCTTCAATTTATTCTTTATAAAGATTGAATAGCTGCAGCCTGTCAGAGACCAGCTGTGCTTCTCTGGCCTCGGCTCTGAACTCCAACCCATCCCATCTGAGAGAACTGGACCTGAGCTTGAACAATCTGGAGTCAGATGTCCAGCTACTGAATGATTTTGTCAGCAATCCAGACTACAAACTGGAGACTCTAACGGTCAGTAGATACATGAAAAGATTTTTTCTCTCATTGCAATGGGAAACATTCAATCAGTTTCAACTTAGTCACAGTCTAAAAATCACTAGTTCTGATTTCACAAATCATCCATACATAAGTTCTGCTCCACAGCTGCTCTGAGCACGACTGCCTTCATATCGGTTGAGCTGCATTACTATCTCTGTTACAATTTACCATCAAATTGTAATCACGAAACAACATTTCAAAATGAAAACAAGGAAATTTTCAAACAAATCCCAAACAATCTATTTTATTCTTTGGTTTTTGAGGTTTTTATGGAACTAGAGGCTCATTTTTTGTACAGTGGGTTGACAGGAGAGGGTATGAGAGAGGGGGAGAGACATGCGTTATTGCATTAAAATTAATATATTTCGCAAAACTCTAACACTTTTTTGGATCACAAGAGTCATTGTCCTGCAACTGGACCTTATTATCTTGTAAAAAGATGAAGACCAGAAATAGTTGGAGGATGATGGTGCTTCATATGTTGATTCAAAAGCATAATCTTTTACATTTATTTTGTGAGGATTAGCACTAGAGCCGTGGCTGAAATATGATGGATATATCTCGTCTTTTTAATCTGCTGCTGCTGCCATGTTGTTTTTCCAGACTTATGTGAATAAATGTATTTATATGCAACTTTAATTGCATTTCTTATTTAAATTTTTAATAATTGCATTTTTTTAAATAAGCAGACTATTGACAGAGTTGCGCATATTTATAATGGAAACTCAACCACTGACTGAAAGCTGATGAAAGATGCTGGAAACACTCATTTTGTCTTCTCTGTTCTCTCTGCAGGTGGTGGGATAGATTATTGCAGATGAAAAAAGCTAAGCTGTTTCCTAATAATCCATTGAGATCAAAGCAGCAGTTTGAGCTTAAAGATTTCTATCTTGTTTGTTAAATGGTTCATGCCTATTGTTGCAAATATGCACCAAACTTTGTATTATGTACTCAGCATAGATAGCATGTAATCCAGGCATACGGAAAGTTGGTCCTCCAGGGCCACTGTCCTGCAGGTTTTGCAGGTTTCCCTGCTTTAGCACAGCTCATCCTGATGATTGCAGTTCAACAAGAGCTTGTTTATTTAGCTGTGCTCAAGCAGGAAAACCTCTAAAACCTGCAGGACAGCAGCCCTCCAGGACTGACTTTGGGCATACCTCACAGCCTGTTATTATACCCGCTGAGTGGACCACAGTCATGCTATCTCTGGCGAGCACATGGAGGGCTCTGTGGCCCTGCAAAGAAATGCTACCCAAAACCATTACTGACCCACTGCAAAGCTGATCATGCTGAAGGATGTTGCAGGCAGCAGATTGCCCTCCACTGTGACTCCAGACTCTGTTACATGTTCTCAATGTGAACCTGCTATCATATATGAAGAGCACAGGGCGCCAGTGGCAAATTTGATAATCCTGGTGTTCTTTGTAAATTAACAAGCATCCTGGACAATGTTGGGCTGTGAGTACAACCTCCATCTGTGGACTAAGGCTCCTCATAACATCCTCCTGGAGTAAGTTTCTTATTGTTTGTGCTGACAAATGCACATTTGTTGCCTGCTGGAGGTCAATTTGCAGGGCATTGGCAGTGCTCCTCCTGTTCCTCCTTGCACAAAGACTAAAGTAGCGGTTCTGCTGCTTGGTTGTTGCCCTATTATGGCCTCCTTCACGTTTCCTAGTGTACTATCCTGTCTTCTGGTTGGGCCTCCAGCCTCTGGACACTGTGCTGACAGACAGCCAACTTCTTGCCACAGCTCACAATGATATGCCATCCTGGATGAGCTGCACTGCCTGAGCCACTTGTGTGGGTTATAGTCTGTTTCATGCTACCACCTGTGTAAAAGCACCTTCAACATTCAAAAGGGACAGAAACCTCAACCAGAAAGCATAGGTACTGAGAAGTGGTCAGTGGTTCCCCACCTGCAGAACCATTGTGTCTTGCTAATTGCCAATAATTTCCCCCTGTTGTATATTCCATTTGTATAACATGCAAAAATTATTCTCAAGCAGAGATCCTTTCTAAGTGGATAGTTTGAAATCATACATATATATATATATATATATATATATATATATATATAAAATATAATTATGTATGTATATATTTGTGGGTGTGTAAAAGTTCAGGCGTCAATGGGTTAATCCTGTCAATAAGTGTCTAATATTGTCTATTAAAAAACTGAAAATTATTAAGCTCTACTTAATGGCTACATGTAGTTTTTGTTTGAGTAAAATGTAAAGTTTATTTATTAATCTTCATTCTGTAACCAAGAAATATGAAATAAAGCTTAATTTTAAAGTTTTACAGTTATATTTGTTCAACTTTGATACAATTTTTGGGTTTGTGTTTTAGATGTTTTTTGGTGGTTTCTTAAATTAGACCATGAAGCTTTTTCTTGTAGATTTCAGATATATTATTTCTGTCTTCTTGATGGTAAATATTCATTTTGAGTAAAGACTTTGATGAGAATTGGAAACACTTTCTGGAGAAACTGACTTTTATATCTTGTTTAAAGATTTTACTTGTTCTTCCTGCACTTCTAGTTCTGTTGCATCTGTGGCTTAAAATACAAGTCTGCTCTGATGAGGTCAGAACAGAAGAGCATCATTGTACAGGTGAGCAGCTTTAGGTTTCTAATAAATAGTTACTAAGACATGTGGGGGGATACATCTTTGCACTGTGTAAGGATTTTTATCAAAGCTGAAGAGCGCAAACAATCCTCCATCATGTCCAGCTGATTCAACAAGACCTGCAGAATTATCAGACAGCTGTCTCTACACCATGTGTTTCCTGTGCTGCCCTCTGGGGAGCGGTACAGTCATGAAGTGGTGTGCTTGGAGACTAGGGAACATTTTTTTAGCTCTTTGCTGCTTAAGAACCGTATCCTGTTCCTCCTTTTCCAGCAGCTCCATCCCCACCATCTTTAAAACACACATTGTGTTCAGGCAGAGCCAACAGCAAAGACGGTTTACAGGGCTGTCAACTCTCACCCATTGGGAGTGAGACTCACCCATCTCAGTGTCTTCACACACTCTCATTCCATATTCCCAATTTCTTACACTAAAAAATAACAGACATTAAAACAACTCCGTTCCAGTCATTTATGTATAGAAATACCACTGTGATCAAAATCCAGTCTTTTTAATACAACCTTAGTGCTAACACAAAGGGACATGCCAGGTTCATACTCAGTCCGTATTCCCACCTGTTCACTGTGCCAGATATTGACAGTTGTTACGAGGTATGTCATTTTAATTTTTATCTTATCTGCACTAGGATAATTCTCTTTGTAAGTTATTGAAGATTTTAAGCAATCTAGTACTTGAGTTCAGGTTTGCCTCTCAAACCCATAGAAGCTCCACAAAATGAAAAAGAACCATTACATTTTATTTTTCAAAAGATCTGCCACCCAAGAAGAGACCATTGCACTGGTTCCTGTATTAGTGCCAGTAATACAGTAATAACTCTTTAGTTCCCCATTGTTTATTTTACTCAAACTGCAAAGAATAATTCATATACAAAGTTGTGAAATTCTTAGTTTACATTATATTTAAGATGCAATTATTTTAGTAGGGCCCTTTCTTCTTTAAAACACCAGTATATAGAAAATAATGTATATTGTGAGAAAACTGTTCCACATAACTATGGATCACTGATTGTTATTCAGCAACATTTACTATGCTATAAAAATCCCACATTCTGACACTTTGTTTCAGTTAAATCCTCTGAAAAATCTCAGACGTTATAGCTGCTCTTATCCTCAGAGCCTTTTGGTCGAATCCTGACAGGGTTTTCTGTCCAAACTATTTCAAAATCTCACCCCAAGGTTTGTTGAAAAGTTGGCAGCCTTTGGTTTAGGTATTCCTGCATGAAGTCCAGCAACAAAAGGAAAAAACAAATTTTTTATTTGCAAAATTCCTGCATTGAAAGCCTGATCTAATCATTGCAGAATCCAACCAGAAAATTTAACTTTCATAAAATAAGCAGTAAGCACAAATAACCTTTCTTATTTTTTATTGATGAGTGAATTTTCCATTCAAAAAATGCTTAAAACATAACTTTCCATAAAATATTTTGACTTTGCTGCAAATACTCTACAAAAATTTTGTATATTTTACAATGTAAATCATTCTGTGTTACAGATTGTTTTTATTTAGGAAACTATTTCCGCAGATATGACAGATGATTTAGTCTTGTAGTTAGTTTATTAACGCATCTTTAAAAACAATACAGCTAAAAGCAGAGCACTCAACAAAATGAGAAATCAGGACAAGAATTTATTCATCAGAAAAAAGAGGAAAAGGTGAGATTAGTACAGCACAATGAATAAGGAGAAATTAAAACAAGTTTATTATATTTAAATTACTGTATCAAGCAAAAAGCTTTTAAAAAAGCCATAATTTAAGGGTTTGGTTCCTTAAAAAAAAAAAAAAATAGGGGTTTCAGTAAAGGTTGCTTTACATTAAATAAAAAGTTTTCTTGTTACTCTACCTTTTGGCCCCAAATAATAAATTTATTAACTGTTCTTGGTTTGGACAAGGGATTCTTATGAAATCAAAATTATATCTCTCCCTATTTTATTGGCAAAACTAACAGATTAATAAAATATTTGCTTTAATCTGTCACTTTTACTAACCAGTCTCTTTGGTCTTTTACCAAACGTGGCAGATTTTTTTTTGTATACTTTTCTCTTTAAACTCTTAAACTGAGTTCTGAGCTCATACAAAGGTATCCCGACTCTGAATGAAAGGAGTCCTTGTTGTCCCTCTGCTTGTTTGACTCCTGCCTGAATAATACAGCGGCGGCACTATCGTCACCCTGGATGATGATGGTGGCCGCATGTACGTCCGTCTGCTACGGACAGTGGCATAAGAAGCCGGCCTTTGAGGCCTTTTAGATGAACTGTAAAGGAAATGGACACAAACATGGTCATTTTCTCCCAGAAAGTCTTGGTAGCAATCATTTCACGTCAGAAATATAGCCTCACCTTGATATGAGACCCTCTTTCCCAGAGAAGAAAGTGAGCACACCTGCCCCACAGATGAGAAGAATGGAGCCTCCCCAGCCAACGAACACAGCAGCACCCAGTTCAAACCTGAATAAAGAGACACCACTCATATTCATTCACCTTTTATTTAGTTCTGACTTGAAAGTTTTATTTTCCTAACAATTCAATGCAACTCAATAATTCAATATCACTCACTTCTGGGCCTTGTAGTTTGGATCCACAAATTGCGATATGACTCTATTAGCCCACCACGAATATGTAATCATGCCACAAAATCCTGCCGGAAAAGTCCCTAATTTCATTAACAATGCCTTCATATTTGAATTTTAACAGTATTACAAGAAAAAAAGAATCTTTACCTGAAGCTAAGAATGTTACGCCTCCAGAAAACGTCACCCTCGAGTTAATAATCTCTGTTCCCCCAATTTTGGTGCATTTCATCCCAATGAGCGTCAGGACGCCTCCAAAGAAGCCTGTAATGACTGAGCAGATTGCAAGTGCTCTGAGAGCATGCAGCCAAACTAAAAGAAGAAGAAAAAAAAAAGATATTAAACTTGTTTCCAAAACAAAAAACATAAAATATTATTTTATTACATGTAGGTACAATTTCAAGCTAAAAAGAGATGTAATATAGATTTTTCCCTAAAATGTCCATCAGACAGCTGCAGCTGATCCAAAACAAAAAGTAGAGCACATTAAACCAGTCCTCAAGTCCTTAAATTTAAACCTTAAAGACTTTAAATCCTTCTGTTAGTCTATAAATCACTGAATAGATCAGCACCTCAATCCATAACAGATTTGTTGTCAGTGGATCAACCCTCAAAGACCACTCAGGTCTTTTAGTTCCAGCCTACTCTGTTTACCCAGAACTAGAACCAAACATGGAGAAGCAGCATTTAGTTCCTATCATCCGCTGATATGGAACAAACTTCCAGAAGACTGGAAAATTTTAAATTTATTTTTATTCTTTAATTCATTTATTGCACTTTTAATTCTCTGCACTACATTGTGCTTTATAAATAAACATGCCTTGCATAGGGGCAAACAATTTTAAGAAATTAGTCAGAAAGTGAGTTTGCATTCAGCCCCCTTAACACTTTGAACTAGAATAAAAAAAAAACCCTTTCCACTTAAAGTCACCTAATATGTTGATGCTACATTGATTCTAATACGTTCCCAGTTGTTTATATGCTGCTATTAAATGTAGTGTTTATGCCAATTTATACAAGTTATATGTCAGCTATGTGTGCCACCGATTGGGCATCGAATATCTATCAACACATTTATCGTTTAATGCAGTGGTTCCCAACCTTTTTTGACTTGTGTAACCCCTTGGCCATTTTATCATACTATGAGTACCCCTTGGTCAAACATGTTGATTATTTTACAACTGATTATAAAATGGAAAATTTCATTTCCTCATCTTGAACATTTAACGCTCAAAGATTTTATTCTTTTCAATCAGAATTTGTGAAGTTAGGAAACTGAGTCGGAAGCATTTTCTTGCAAGATAATCAGTTTTATTTAACGTCCTTACATGAGACGGAGAGTATACAGAAGCTCTGACTTAATCATCCTAAACACATAGATTTATACTCTTCAAAAATCCCAGCACACTCTCTCTCTCCCATGAAACTAAAACCCACCACCTGCATAAAAGAGCTTTCTCACACACTTGAACAAAAGAAGGAAAGCATCTTAATTCATCAAAGACATACATTTAGTCAGATAAACATTTCAGACAATCCGTTCACACAAGAAAAAGGACGTGAGAACCTTAAACACAGTAAGGACATGTTTATATTTCCCCCCTTGTCTAAACTAGGGAGGAATTTCCTTCTTTTCACACCTGCTTCAACTCCCTCAGTCTCAGCATAAAGAATGGAACAAGTTAACTTTTACTTTGCCAAGAAAAAGCACAGTCTAATATCTCATTTCACAAATAAAAAATAAAAAAACATAAATATGTTGCCTAGAAGGTGAATACGTTTTGAAATCCTTACAGAGAAAAACCCATCCCAGTCCTATTTTTATTGTAATTCTTTATCTGGGAAGAAAAATATTAAATGTTTTCATGTACCTCCGATAAAGCATAGGTGGACCACCAGGGGTACTAGTACCCCTGGTTGGGAATCATTGGTTTAATGTTAAGGAATTTTCTTTTTATTAATGCATTAATCTTTTTGAATGTCCTACCAGGCAGGTCCAGCATGGATGGGTAGTCTTTGCAGTCAGACACCCCTGTGGTGTCGGAGATGCAGTCTCTCCACAGGTTGGAGTAGTAGTTGGCCGTGGTCAGGACGATGCTGCCCACCTCAGAGAAGGTCCAGTACTCTGTGGGGAGAGTAGAGCACACCAGGATCCAACCACACAGGCAGGACACAAAGCAGCCCAGCTCCACGTACATTATCACCATCCGATATTCCATGGTTGGTGCCGATCCTCCTTACGAAACAATAACGTCTTTGAGTGGAAGCTGTGGCAGAAGGCTCCCTCTGAGTCATTACTGCTGGGTGTTGTGGTAACAGATTGGGCTTTTTTCTCATCTTATCTTTTAGATAGTTGTGCCAAGTAAGCATCCTTCATCTTCCCAGCTGGGGGAAGGGATACTGTTACAACCACCTCTCTAGGTGCAGCCTTACACGTTTTTTTTTTTTTAAGATGACCAGTGCTTTTGGACCCAATGTTTTAGAGTAAAGGAAAAAAAGGATGTTCCGATATAAATGGTAGAAATCGGTGCGATATCAGCAAAAAAAAAAACAAGTACTGGAAAATATTGTGCTGCAGCTAAAATCTATGATGTAAGCAGGCTGATAGAAATTCTCCACTTCTATCTGCTTTTGTTTAGTGCTTATGTAACTCATTGGTTTATAATTAATGGGCAACTCGTTAATTACTGTTATGTTTAATCTATATCATCTGATAAAGATTTATTTAATATTCAACATTATAAAATGAAGTATGTATTATTTTCATTATAGGTATCAGTCAACACTTAAAGACGCTTATATTGGTGTCTCATTAAAAATGGGATCAGGAGACACAAAGAAAGGTTTTCAATTCTTATTATTCATGGTGGTCAAGTTTTTATTTGTTCAGATTATTTCGTGTTCTGGTAAGCAGGAGGCTTTTAATTACAAAAATTAGACAAACCACTTTTTATGTAGCTTATGTGACAGTGATGCCGTTCATTATTGGCAGACATCAATATTGTCACCAATGATCATATTAATGCTGATCTACCATTGAAGTAAATCTTCCAGCGCCTTTGCTTTTGGGATCCCTTTTGGTGTCTGAGGCTTTGGGTCCCCCTGCACTCGCCTCGGTGCTCTGGAGGGGCGCTACTTCGGCTCTTCACAACCACCATTGAGCATTTTTCCTTTGGATAAACTTCACATGCACAGAGGCATTCTCACAAACAACTACAGGTACTTAGAGATTCACTTCCACACAGAAATCCCATATTCTTATCTTCAACTACCACAGTATGCATGTCAGATTAAATAATACTACTTATACTTCAGCGATAGTATCAAGGTGTTACTTTATTGTATCTCTTATACTATATCCGTTGGTTGTGCTGTTCTTCTTGCATCTCTTTGCAGGTGATGAAGCAGACTGAAGATGTTTTATCGTTATCTCCCTTTTATCTCCTTTCTTTTATCTTTTCTCCTTTTTTCCTGTTTTTCCTTTCCGGTTCTATTTACATTGCAGTGTCAATATAATCTATAATACTCCCTGCATGAATTATAATAGAGCAATTTATATGCATAAATCAAGCGGAACACAATGGCAATAGCCGTACTGCTTCACTTGTGAAAGCAAAATCTGTTGGGCTCTTTTTGGGATCAATAATTATTCGTATTGCCACATCGCCAGACAGGACACTGTTTAAAATAAATAAATAAAAGTAATTAACCTAAGTAAGTTTTCCAGGTCCACATTTAAACCTCATATTAAGCCGACGACGTGATGTTATTTCTGAAGTAGTTTTATTCAGAAAGTATCGGAACACTGGGCTAGTATATTTGTCCAGATATCATTATGATGTTTGGTCTGATATCTTGGTTTATGTTATCTTTGGTCAGCACTGGTTTTGTCGTTTATACGTGGCATTTTAGCTCAAGCTCTTTAAACCTGAATAAATCTCATCAACAACATCAGTGCAATTCTTACACAATGACTATAGTGGCTGGCTTATAAGATAAGACCCTTGGTTTGTGCACGGGCGCTTTCCCTGATAATGCCTCCCTTTTCTTATGTTTAATGGCAGGAAATGAAGCAGGTCTGTAGCAGAGAGGATTCAAAGGAAAGATGGAAAATGTGTCATTTTCTGGATTCTTTTATATTTATTTTAAAGGTAAGTAAACCCTGCATGCAGTTTCACATTGAATGGTTCAACCAAGTGACCAACTATCTCGTAGCTAAAGAGATTTAATTGGAAAGAGGATTTTTGTATATATTTCTTAAAGTCTTGTGTAACATTCTTACCAAGCATGTTGCCCCACCTCAGTTTTGATGGGTTTGCTTTCCTGTGTAAAAAAGCTGAAGTCATTTTGTTTATGTATAAACAGTAACCGGCCACATCAGAGAGGGGTTGATGACACCGAAAGAAAAACGAGACAAACCAGTGAGTAGGCGTTCCGAAAAGCTGCCTTCAAGGCCTCAGAAACCCTGGATGTACACTTGCAAAGAGCAAAGAAGAACAATAATATGTAATACTCTTGGTGAAATGGCACTTTTTAAAATGTCCCTTTTATGTTGGGTACCCACGTTTGACTGTCCAAAGCACTGCAAAGTCTACGCAGTTCACTAATAGAAAAAGTGTGAGAAGGATACATAGTTTAAACCGTTTATTCCATCAGTCAGAAATTTGTCCAGTCACTTTTTACTGGAATTGTAGAGATAACTGCGTATTTAGAGCCAAACATTTAGCAGAGTATAGAAGAGTATATAGTTATAAACCGACATGCATATATTTTTGCTCAGCAGGTGAAGCTAAAAGTTGCAGGATATCTGCTAGAAGCCATTCGTTTGCATCTCTGACTGTAAATGATGAATTTTAAGTCTTTCAAAGTCTCTTTTTATTTAGCTTCATCTATTTTTATTGTATCCTTGACAGCTGAAGTCCATTCCGTAACGTCCAGCAGCCTGTATTAAAATCTGTGCCAATATTAAAACAGTTTAGTTAGAGTTTTATATTCACATTAAATCAAATCCATTAAAATACATCTATAAATCTGGATCATTGCCATAAGCCGCCTGAAGCAACCACCTAAAAAATACATTTTGTCATTACATGTATATTATAATGAGAAATAAGTTCTCAGGGGCAACAAAAAATAATATATTTTTCTTTAAGTTATAGTGAAACCTAATAGGAACATATTTTCTATTCATGTGTACATAGATACAGCTGTGTTTTTTGTTTTAAATAGGTTATTTTTTTTGATAGGATGTAAATGTAAAGTTTAAAGTTAACGTATATTTGACTGTTTCACATTCTGATCATTTTCTTTTGAAGAAATTTTACAATAAAAATTACATTGACAAAGTAAATGATAATCTCCACTGCATCTTTATTGCAGATTTATAGCTTACGTTAAAGAAAATTCTTTTTTGGGCCCAATATCAGTGTATTTCATGGGGCTCCAAATTCCTGGCAGCGCCCCTGGTGGCTGGTGATTTCACAGCACCGTGCAATACCAAAGACCTATCAGCAATCCAGTGAATAAATAGGGATCAGTGGTTACAGCATATATAAGAAGCTGCTCGGTTTGTTCTGCTGCCAATTAGCTTTGCTCTAGTTAATGGATGAAATTATGTTTTCATCTTTTTGCTTTAAATATTTAGAACAGTGTTAATTTAAATTGGTCAGAGTAATGATCCTGCCTCTGCTGTGTTTCACTGCCCATTAAGGGTGATGGAAAGTGTTGGTTTGCTTCTATACGTCATTGAAAAAAAAAAGGCAAAAAAGATCAGCTTTGGCCTTATTTGACCAGATCATTTTATTTAAGAAAAGAAAAAAATACAACCACACAAACTGATGCTGCCCTTATAATGCTTGTTGATGAAGCTTATATGTTGTTTGCTCAAACTACTGTTCACTGCAGATGAAATGTTAATCTTCTTAATTACTTCAAGGAAAAGAAGAAAAAAATAACTGCGTTAGTATTTGATGTTTGAATTAATCAGTTCAAATGTAGGAGTTTTTGACGAATGGCGTGGCTCCACTTCTCACACTGCCAGGTGTGGACACCGTGCGGCTGCTTCGACTGCTGTTACTGCTGCGACTGCTGCTCCTAGAGTCAGACAAACTAGATACGCTGGACTCTAAGGAGGTGTATGACCGAAAATCAGATCCAGATCTTGATCCCGAACCATAAACTGAGGTTCCAGCTGATCTGGGGGTCCGCCCCGTCACGGACGACCGCCCTGACCTCGCCGTCTGTCCGGATTTTGAGGTGCGTGCAGATTTAGAGGATAAGGAGGAAACATCTGTACGCTCAGACCTGGACGACAGCTCAGAGACGGAGGAGAGTTTGGTATTGGAGGTGACCTCGGATACAGCAGAAGAAGCTGTGGTGGGCTTGCTTTTCTCCGGGTCTGGCTGTGGTTTCCGCCTGATTACTCTGGAAAATAAAAGAAAGAGGAAGAATAGGTTTCAGATAAATAAGCAGTAGAAACTTGTATCCTATAACAGGAAACACAAAGTGCAACTAAAACAATCATTTGTACAATCTCTCTTATTAAAGGTATATTTTTATTTAGTTTATAAAACATTTGGATCTTAGTTGAACAACACAAACTAGTAGAAAAACATGTTAGGTAAACAATACATTGTTTTCCTTATTAATAATGAATAATGTTTGATTATAACCTTTATTTTGCTTTAGAAACATATCTTCATATTCTCTTTTTGCATAATAGCTCAGTCAGACAGGTAGGAGAGCATCTGTTAATATCAACTTCCAACTTTCTTTATTCTGTAAGACAACTGCGACTTTAATCTTCACCCTTTACTTGGTAGATTTAGGATTGTTGTCCTGCTTGTTGGCAAAGATACAAAACAGTTTCAACTCTTTCTGTCAACTGAGTCTCTTCCAAATGCCGGATCTACAGATTATTCCCAACAGATCTATAAATCTTTGGCACTTTCCTGATTTATTTTTTTATTTTTAATCCAAAAATGAAAACTAAACTGTGGTGTTCTTTCACAAGAGGTTTATTGAAATGTAATTTTGTTTGGACAATTGAAAAATTCAAAAAAGTTGAAGTTGTATGATACGGTAATTTTTGCAAGCCAGTTTATTGTGATTAAAATAAACTACAATGATTTCAAACCACTAGGTGTGCCTTGTTTGCTAAATTTGCTTAAACTGCTCCTGTTGTTGTTGAATTCTTTGTTTTTACAGCAACTTTTATTTATTTTTTATACTAAGTAATGCATTTTTTTTGTTTTGTTGATTTTGGATCCTTGGCCAATTGTCCTCTTTTATCAAAAACAGATTCACCATGCAATATATGGTGTTTATTACTGTATTCACTTTATTTGGTGTATTGTAACTGTTATTCTAGAGTCTAGTTTATGATTGATTATATTATGTTGTTTTTATGTGTTTTTATATGTCTTATTGTACTGCTGCCTCTTGGCCAGGTCTCCCTCGAAAAAGCGATTTTATCTCAAGAGACTTCCTGGTAAAATAAAGGTGAAATAAAAAAAAAATAAAATGCTACAGCAGTTAATGACCTCCTACTGACCTTTTTCCTTCTCCACAGAGCGGTTTGCACACTGACCACAGATAGAAAAACCCGCCAGCCATGTGAAAAGCTGAGCCCACCCAGCCAAGAAACATCGGTGTGCCAAGGTCATACCTGAAAAAAGGTAAAAAGGAGATATTTTTAGATGAATATACATAGATTTGAGTTTTACTTCAAATATTTCAATAATTAAAGCTAAGAGATTCTAGGTTTACACTATCTTTATTCCACATTTGTTCACTTTAAAGCCTGTTAACTCACTCAAGTCCATCAGGGCCAGGATGCAGCTTTTCCAGTCTGACATACTCAGCATACACAGCATACGCTGCTGTGGACATTCCACCTGAGAAAATAAGATGTTAAGAATAATCATCAACTTAAAATAGATTATCCCACCAATTATTTATTTAAATGCCTTCATTTTAGTCAAAATTTTCATTTACGTTCAGCCTAATGGTACAGGTCTAACCGTTTCTAATGCATTTAGTAAAACTGATTTAAAATATTCAGATGATTCCAGATGGATTTTAATAAAACATTATATATTCTCACTCACTATTGTTACAAAATATACCGGTACATGCAAAAAAAAAAGATTTTTTTCTTATATTTTTAATTGTTTAAGTCATTTTTTATTCCTAAAACTGATTAAAATGTAGAGTTGTCTTCTGTAAATATATGCTTAATAAAAAAAAGTCAAATATGGTTAGTGCCAGCTAGCATCTCTTTTAGCTCTTGAGGGTAGCCTCAGCTGCTACTTTGCTTGCAGAGAATTAATTCTTTCCATCCATTTTCTGTCACGCTTATCCAAAGCGGGGTTGCAAGGGGTGCTGGTGCCTCCAACTGTCTATCACCGAGAGGTGGGGGTCCACCCTGGACAGGTCGCCAGTCCATCGTAGGGTAACATAGAGGCAATAAACCATTCACACAAACTCACACCTTTGGGAGACAATTTAGAGAAGCCAATTAACCTAACAATCATGTTTTTGGACTGTGGGAGGAAGCCGGAGTACCCGGAGAGAACCCACCCATGCTCAAGGAGAACATGCAAACTCCATGCAGAAAGACCCCAAGCCGGGACTGGAACCCGGAACCTTCTTGCTGCAAGTTGGTATTTTAGCAAGTTTTTTGTTATTAGAAAGGTTTGATGTTTTTCTTGTAAACTGCAATTGGGTGAAAATGGATAAAGCAACTCAAGTCATGTGAAACAAAATGGAAAACATGGAAAGATCAAGAGAGATCATTGATTCATTTGCACATTTAGTACCAAACACCATTAATAATGATAATTTCCCCACATATAGAAACTAATATTTTACCACTGATGATGTGGCACCATCCGCCAGTAAAGATCTTCTTGTGCTTTGAAGGATCTTTACCCCCAAGATAGGTGCATTCCATGCCCAGCAGACTGAGTATAAACCCCAGCATTCCCAGGGAAAGAGCTGCCATCAGTAGGCCGCGTACGATAGGGATGTGCCCTGAATCACACAGAGAAATAAACAATTTAACTCTATAGATAAACGAATAACGTGCATGTATGCGTTGACTTACATTCATCAGATTTGAGCATAGGGAAATCATAACAGTTGCTGACAGAAGTGGAATCTGTGAAGCATTTTCTCCACAAGCTGGACCAGTGCCAGGCCACTTTGATCATAGAAGAACCAGCCATGCCCCCTACAGAGGCAATCTTCCAGCCCTCCATGGCCATAGTGCAGGCCACAAAGATCCAGCCTAATACTGTCATTAAAAATCCCCAAATCTGGACCACTCTTATCTTCATCTTTAGCCCTCTGCGAGTCTGCTCCCTTCTAGATATTTCATCAAATGATTTTTCCCGTCTCCAGCCTCTGGTTTTATTCTTCAAATAGGCAGGAAAGGTCTTTGAGTCCGATGTCCAGGACAGATGTTGATAGATGTTGGTTCTCCAAGTAAAGTAGGATGGTTCACCAGTTAAGGTGCTTCTTAAAATGTGGGTGGGATGGAAGAGCGGCTCCAGTTCCCATGAGTCACTGCTAAGGGTAGTCAGATTTGAATCTAGACTGAAAAACGCTGAACTGAGCATGAATCAGATTACATAAGACTTCATGCATCTACTCCAATTTCATCCATTCCATATCCAGAGGATATGTTCAAAATAAAAAATGAAAAAAAGATACAATTGTGTTTTTAATTGATCAATATGACCTTTAGTTTAACAGCAGTGTCAGAAATTAGAATATCAAATATATTCTTCTTTATTTATTTTAGATTGACAAAGAAATCAAAGTATCAAATATAGATAAAGTGAGTAAAAATGCAGTTTTCAAATATTTTTTAAGGTGGAAAACTATCATAGCTCTATATAAAGTAAATACCCTCTTTTTAATTCGTCCATTACCCTTTGACTTAGGGCATTTTTTCCTTCTTGTGGTACCAAGAATTACCACAAGAGGGCATCATTGACACAGTTGTCAACAATGATTTGGACTCATATTTATATACATTTTGAAAAATGATTGTTTTCTACTTAGTAAGCAAGATGTTTCTACTTTATGGGTAATTATATGTAGTGATCTAAGGTCAACTTAGTTATTTATTTAGATAATCTTCCAAATAAAAAATATAATCAGGCTGAAATACAGACATGAGCTAAAATCCTTTTCTTTTAAAAAGGAATAAAACACTGCTTTCCATAAAATATTTATAGCATTAATTATATATTAAATTATATTTATAGCATTCATAAGGTGTCTAGTTATTATTATTATTATTATTATTAGTTGAACAAGTTTAAAAAGCTTAGGAATAGGAACAGTGTTAGTAGGTATTTTGATGAAAGCATAATGAAGAAAGTGTGGGTTAAAACTATAATCACTATACTTAACAATAATATTGCTAATATAGTATTAAAATCATGAAGTAAATCCATTATATGATACATATAAAACAAAGCAGAGGGATATTACATTTTTATAAAAGCTCTAAGTGACGCCAACTTGTCTTTCCTATGAAGTTACTTCAGGCAACAGGGGCCAAATTTATTAGACTAGTTTTTTTTTTTTTTTTTAAACAAAGCTATTCCACTTTAGATTTCCGCCTGAAAGAAAAACTAAGTACCAATTTTTGAACACATGCATTTGCTCTATTAAAAACCCAAATCATTTAATATTTTCTAATATGGGCCTACAAATGCATTAATCAGTAACTTACAAAACAAAAACAATTATTTTTTTTTCTGTCTGGTTTTGTTTTAGTCTTTCCAACATATGAGGATGAGATGCTGAAGAGCCCTGTACATGATTTTCAAAATGCTAATTAATGTGGATTCAGTTTTATTATTTAATGTATTTCAAAAGCCCAAGGATGAGGCTTTTATTTTGAAAGAACAAAGTTCAGCATCATTGAAATTAAACACCGGTGTTAATGGGAATAAAAAAAAAAAAACACTTCATAATTATACTGAGTTAAAGAGAAAAAACTCCCGTAAATTTTAAGTAATTTAACGCCTGATTGATATCAGTATAAGGTTGGTATTTCCTGTTGGTAACTTACCTGTAACTTTCTTTCCTTGAAATAAAATGTACATCGCTAATAATAATCAATGTTTATTTTATAAGGATAACTTGTCATATGTAATACATCACAGTAAGGTCATACTAATCACATTTCACCAAAATGGTTTGGGTTTAAATACAATTATAAATGGCACATTTTAGTGTTTTCACACTGGAAAAAATCGAAATCTAGATGAATCATTTTTTTCTTGAAATAAGTGCATTTTGTCTTGGAATGAGGAGGTGAAAGAGACATTTCTCCAATGGAACAAGACAACTTCCACTTAAAATAATAAAACACAATTGCAATGTCTTATTTCAAGTGCATATTATCTAATTATCTTATTTTAAAAGTATAAATACTCATTCCATCGGCAAACTATCTTATTTAGCTACTCAAATTAAGGGTAAATACGCTTAATTTAGGAAATTTGATCTTATTTCTAGATTGTTTTTCCAGTGCAGATATGATAATGAAAATGATTGTGTAATAGGATAAATAAATAAACTGATACATTTATTTAAATAAGCCCAAAGGAACATGCTAATGTTTGAATTGTTTGTTTTTATTGCTCTTAGTGCGTGTTCACCAAAGGCATTATTCCATTTCAGCCTTCAGTAAAGGTAAAATAGGTTTCTTGGTAATTATCCTGTCAGATATTACTGTAAACAGTATGTTTCTGTGGTTATGAATAGTTACTTTGAAGTATGTAATAACTCTACTGTTATGAGTCCAGCTGCTTAAAGCATCGCTCTCGACGTGCCTTGGGCTATAAGCTGTTATTGGTAATTTCACCAGGACCTCAGTGCGCCATGGTGCTACAGAAATACACCAAAGAGCCTTTGTGCTGATTTAATTAGAACTAAAGCCATCATAATGAGGTCCCATAGGAAATGAATGTTCTGCTCCTGCTATTAAGTCCATTTTGATTTTGTAATTTTTGAAATATGTTAACTATGATCAACTACAATGGAGTGTGAATTTGTTTTAGTCCAGTGGCTTACAAATAATAAATTATGTCATTGTTTTATGATTCATACTTGTAAAAGGTAGTACCAGAAGTTTATAGTTACTGAAATATTTTCAATTATCATTCTTATATGGTGAAGTAATTAGTAAAAATATTAATCTTAACCCTTTATAGGGCAATACTTTTGATTATCTACTTTAATAATCAAAATTTTATGCCAATAGTATTATTGGAATCCAGGACAAGACATTATTACCTTTGTAACATTAAATAAGATATTGATATTTTGATGGCAAAACTTGATGTCAACGTAATAACAAGAAACACCAAGTGCTTTTATAAGAAATTAATTAAAAACTCTCCATTTTCTTTGGTCCAACCTAACCTTAGAGGCATTAATGCTGATACTGACACTTATATTTTTTAGTTTATAAACATAAATATAGTTGTTAACGAGGCTATTGACTTTTTAACTTTACTTTTTAACTTTTCAATTAGCTTTTTACTATTTAATTGACTTGTCAACTTTTTTCAACTTAATTTACTTTGGGTAATGTATCATTCAAGGGCTCATCTAATTGGTCAGATGCCAAAATAAGATGCCATGTAGCAGTATCTTTGCTGAATGGCTAGATATAGATCTTGTTCTTCTAGACCTCACTGAGAGATGGGGGGACTCCATTTGTAAGGGGTATGCAAGTGATCAAAAACGTTAAATTGCCCTATAAACTCTGTGCCAGATATGTCTACTTTACACCAGATTGTAACAATTGTAACAATCTTCTGAATTATTGTCCTGTTAAAAGCTTAATAGGAATTGTGCCACATTCTGTCACAACAGCTTTTAAGATATAGATGCTAATGAGTCTTTTACATTAGATTACATAATATTTGACTCTTTCTTCCTTACAGAATCATTAAAATACTTCCAGTTTGATCATTTTAATCAGATTTATTTTAATGGCATCACATTTCCATATTAATCTGGACTTCAGCAGGACATTCAAAAGCTTTTATTTAAAAGTAGATTTAATGGTTTCTTTTAGATTATTGCCCTTTATCTTAAGATCCGAAATGGATAATGAGACATTCTTATAATCCTAAAACACGGCCCATAAAATCTTTTATCTCTTGCTTTCTCTTTACTGGTGTCCCAAAGCCCTACTAGATCTCATCTAATTGATGAAGCTCTATCATTTTATTACTCATCTGTTGTTAAATTTTTACATATAAGGACATTATTTGTTGTTTTTGCGATCTTTTGGCTTAGTTTTTACTTACAAGTTCTGCTTAAGCTATTTGTTAGTATAATGGGTTACAGAAACTGAGGTCAGCTGTCCAAATTAATGATGGCTCACTCCAGTTACATCAAGACAAGGATGGAGAATGATATTTACACATCAGGCCAGGTGCATTTAGAGAGGTGTTTTTTTTCTTTCGAAGAAAATCATCTTTTAATAATAGTTTTTAGGATTTACTTAGATTATTTTGTCTGATATTGAGATTTTTTTTTATCAGTTTACTGTGACAAAAAGCCAACACAGTATGTTTATCATTTGGATGCCATTAATTAAGATGTTTTCTGATTCAAAATGAAATAAATAAGATAAAGGTCCAGTTTGTTTTAAACATAAGCGTTTCTTCCAAACTGTCTCTTCAACTCCAGTGGGTCCGTTTGCAGGCTGTTGGCTGTCTTGCACGGGGCTCCAGTGTAACAGTACTTAACTCTGTAAAACAATAAAAAAGAAACTTAACCATAAAAGAATCATCAGCATAAGTGGTTATCATGGTGAAAGTTACTGATGCTGACCTTAGTTTAAAGCATTCGGACAGTGGGAGGCAAAATATAGTTCCACCTAGAATACAAAGCACGGATCCAGCCCAGCCAATAAAGAGAGCTGCTCCTAATTCAAACCTACCCAGAGAGAAACAAAAAAAATTATTATTTCAATCTAAACCAAACTTTGGCTGAAAGTCAGAACTGTTTTTTTTTTTTAAATCCTTAATACATACTTCTGTGCAACAAAGAAGGGGTCAAAGAAGTCAGTTGTGATCCTATGGGCATATATGGAACATGCAGTCATGCAGGAGATTCCTGTGCAGACATTAAATAATTACCAGAACACAGTTGGCTATGCTGATTGAATTAAAAAATGTGTCGAAAAATTACCGCTCAAAATGAAGCTTAAGCCCGACAGGACAGCCAGACGAGCCTTGGTAGCCTCTGAGCCTCCTATTTTTGTACACTTCATTCCCAGTAAAGCCAAGGCGGCACCAAAGAAACCCAGGCATACGGCAGCGATCACCAAACCCCGACAAACCTGAATATAAGCTTTGAGAGGAAGACAAAAAGGCACATTTCTAGATTTCTGCAAAAGTGGGCTGTCATGGTGCAGTTTCAAAATGGGGTGTTATAAATGTCTCCAATTGTGAGAAAAGCAGGTAATTAAATGTGTG